ACTGAATAAATAAGTGTGGCTGTTCTAGAAACACTGAGCCGTGCTGATCAGGTAGCCTTGAGGTCACACCGTCTTCTGGTTGTATAAAGTTGTCAGCCCTTCCCACTTCAGCAGGCCCGTTCTAAATGGCTCACCAGCAGCCCCGCGGCCCATGGCTATTAAAACCCCAGTCTTTCCTCCTAGGAAGCAAGGGACCAGCTGTTCTGCTTGTCCACAAAATTTTAGCAGTTGGCAATTTCATGATTCTTAAAATCATGAATCAGGACTATGGAAAAAGACAAAATCTGTCACCACAAGCAGCCAAATGCTGAATGAAAAAGTTGCAAAGCGATTCCCGTTTGGAAAGCCGGTCTGAGTGCCATTAATGAAGGGACTGCAGGCAGAGGTCAGCTCGTTCCACCCCATCCTGGGGGCAGGGCCACGCAGACACGCTTCCCCAGGGGAGGAAGCTGCCTGCTCTGTGTGGCCCGTGCAGAACCTCTTCGCTGGGAAATGCCTTTTTCTCTCAAACCTCCACCCCTGTGTGCTGGGAGACACCGACTCTTCCTGGTGTGTTCAGTTCTCAATGATTACTCTAAGTCGATATTGAGCACCTGTGCCGGGGGAGCAGCAAAGCCCAGAGTGGTTATCACCCCTCATGGCACTCCTGGGGCGTGGGACAGGGTCACTGGACAACAGACCGTGGGTATGGGGAGCGAGGGGTCTGGCCTGATGTGCCTGGGAGCCCCTTGCTGCTCTCTGGCCTCACCAGCCCTATCTTGCTGACGCAGCCCCATGGTTTCTGCACATTGCCCCGCGATTATCACTGTTGGCTAAACCTGCACCCACTGGGACCTAGCAAGAAGCAGGTGCTCTTCAAGGATTAATGGGAGGGAGTTGATGAACAGACTGTTAACTGAGGTGTGGACAGGCTACTCAGTGCCTTCAAATCGATTTCGACTCTCAGCGCCCCATGTAGCAGAGGAGAACTGCCCATAGGGTTTACAAGGCTGTAGATCTTTACGGAAGCAGATTGCTGCATCTTTCCCCCACAGAGCAACTGGTGTGTTCAAACTGCCAACCTTTCAGTTAGCAGTTGAGAGCTTTAACCACTGCACCCCCAGGGCTCCTTGTAGGTAGATTAGGGGAACCCGTGAGGGAAGAGGAGGCACTTAGGGGCTAGCAACAGCAGGGGAGCATCACCCCAACCCTCGGCTTGATGGGGTAGAGGAACAGGCTCTGGAAGCTGAATGAAGCTGTGGCCCTGGGACAGGGGCCACCTGACAGTAGCTGTGGCTAAGGTAAAGGACTGCTGCCACTGTCACAGCCCATCAGGAGGGGGTGAAGGGAGTCACTCCAGCCTCTCCCTCTGCTCGCCTTCCCGTCTCCTGCCAGGGCCTCCCATTGACCAACCTCAGCCAGACGCCAGAGGGCACAGGAGCCCAGTGACAAAGGCCGTAGAGATGAGTATCCAGGCACTGAGCAGGGCAGAGAGCAGTGGGGGCTGGATCTGAAGGGAAACAGCCAGCCTGGATCATGGAATGATTCTTTGTTCTTACAATAAAATGAAAAGTGTTAACATAGCATCGAGACCCTGGTGCCCTTGGCAGCCTCCAGCCCCCTCAGTGCACCTGCTCTCTGGGCTCTGGCCACCCTGGCCTTGTCTCACCACCCTGTGCATGCTCTTCCCATCTTGGAGCACTCTCTGGATCCTGCCCAGTCCTCAAAGCTCAGCTTAATGATCACTTCCTCAGAGAGACCCACCCAGCTTCCTCCCATCCAAGTCAGGACCTTTTGTTGTCTCATAACACAACCTGTTCACTTTCTTTGCATTAATACATTAATTTGTGTATTTATTTAGTATGTCTCTCTTCTGATTAGAAGCTCTGGGAGGGGAGGACTCGCTGTATCCCCAGTGCCCAAGAGAGTGGGCATCTAGGAAATGCTCACCACCCAAGTGGAAGGGTGTTATACTCTCTCCTTGTCAACAAAACCTGAGCAAGCGTCACATTGTGTTTGGTTTCATGGGATATTTTTTAATCAGAATAAATAAGTGTCCTATAGTAGGAAGAGAAACAGTGGGAGGTCTCTCTGAACACTGTACTCACAACTGAGGTTTGATGGAGGATACATGCAATACACTTTCAGAAAAACTTGATAAATTTACTCTCAGTCATTTAAATCAGCTGATACAGTTTTGTGGAGGGTTTTTATTATTATTATTAACTTTTTGTGATTTGGGTAAAATTTCTCAAAGCAGATTGGTTTTCCATTCAACAGTCCATACACGTTCTGTTTTGTGATACTAGTTACATTCCCTGCAGAGTAGCATCTCACCTCCACTTCCTCCCTGTGTCCCCCGTGCCCCTCTTATCCATGCATTCCTGCCTCCCTAGCTTTCTCCCTGTGCAGTTGCTGCCCTCTGATCTCCCGTGGTTGATTGTTCTAAGGAGTGCATCTCCCTGGTGTAGGTGTTCAGCTTGTAGCCCTGTCTGTTGTCTGAGAGTTAAGCCACAGGACTGAGTTCAATTCCAGACCCGAAGGGTGACTCAGGACCATAGTCTTAAGAGTTTTACCAGTCTCTGTCAGACGAGTAAGCCTGGTCTGTTTCATGATTTTTATTTTTATTCCACATTTTTCTCCCACTCTATGTAGGATCTCTGATTCTGATCCCAAGTGATCCAAGTGGTTGGCTGTGGTAGCTGTGATAGTTTTAGTTCTCATTGTCAAACAACATAACTCAAGGTGCCTCGGCAGACCCTTTAAACTTCTCGCCACAGGTCCATCTTATTTTCCCTGCACATGGGCTAATACTCTGGCGGATGCCTTGGCCTTTCTGCTTGCTTTGAGATCGTCTGCCTCCCAGCCACTGAGTCTTAGCTCAGTTTGGTCATTTAATGTCAAACCCAAGATCCTGTGCAAAAAGGGCACAGAGGTACCTCCAACCTCCTCTAACTCCACAAGGGGAAGAGAGAATCACCATCAGCAGCCCAAGGCCGATTCGTATGTGGCCAGACATGCTGCTGCCCTCCAGCCTTTTACCATCTCTAACACCAGCTATCCCTCCCACAGCACTCACTACTTCTCTACTGGGTTCGATAATTTGTTGGAATGTCCACACAGAACTCACAGGCAATGCTCACAATTATGGGGTTTATTAAGGAAATAACAGGCTACAATTCAGGTTCAGGAACGCTCTCAGGATCCAGTTCTCCAGTCAGGACAGTCTCCCCTCTGCTGAGCCCTCAGGTATGTGTCTTTGGCCCTTGTCCTCTCAGCATAGCCCTGCCCTGCTCGAGCAAGTGTTCCAAAACTCTTTTAGCTCTGCCCATAGGTACATCTAGGTGCACCCCACTCCACCAATAAGCCTCCTGCCCAAATGCAATCACCCTTCTCACTCCCTGGGCCGGGAAGGCCACTGCTCTGTCTTGTGGCTCTTGGTTCTGCAGCTGGTCGTCTCTGACGAGGAGGTCCAGCGCAGGGATCTCGGGTTCAGGGACATGCTCCACTCCACCTCCAGCTCTTCTCTCTTGATGGGAGTGAGATCCCCCCTCTGCCTCTAGGAGAGCTCATTTTAAGCCTAGCAGAGGGACAAAATTAACCAATCCCCACATAAGAGATCCATGTACCCTTATTTGCATGGTCCCACTCATTCATCTGGTAGGAGTCAAAGACCATGGCTGGAAAAGCCATACCAAGTAATTCACTACACCACATCCTAATCAAATCTCCAAACTTGATTTATTAGCAAGTTTTCTCCCCACTTCTGTCTCGGGCCTGTCTCCACCTGGAAGCCTACGATGGACAAGGGAGCGTGTTGGCCCGCTTTCTTTTCTCCACTTCGCACTTCTTCTCTCAGATTTGCTCAGTGCCTGAGTCAGCATGTAGGGAGGAAGAGTGGGAAGGAGGCGGGAAAAGTGGGGTGCACCGTTGCTGGTTGTATATTCTCAAGACTCTTCAGGGAGTGCCTGCTCATGCCCCAGATCTAACAGGTGGGAGGAGACCCCAGCCTCCTTTCCACTCTGTAGGTCACCTGGGAAATCCCTCCTGAGGAGGAAGAGGAGAGGGAAGGTTTCCTCCCAGCAGGACCCTCCCTCTCTAGTCTGCCTGGTACATGAGGGGAACCAGCTTTAGATCATTTCCTGTGTACATTCACTTAGGGGCTACCTGATTTCTGTCACAGTAATGACATCTTGGTCAAAACTGAAGCAGGAAGCATCCCGTTATAACTTCCTGTTAGAATGAATTTTCAGAATAACCCTTGTTGAAATGTTTTACAGAATGTATTAGATTGTGTGACACAAGTATTTGAAGCAACTCAGTCACATGAACACTCCATACCAGTCGGGTGTCCTACAAAAGTGCTGCATAACGAACCATCCCCAGGCCCCGTGGTTCACAGATGTTTCTGGCTCACGCACCAGTAGACCAGCTGGTGCTGGGCTGGGCAGGGTGCCAGGCCACAGGTCAGGGCCAGGCTGTTCTGGGTGCCTTTCATCCTTCTGGGACCAGTACATGCCTGTGAAGGTGGAGAGAAGGAATGAATTTTTGCCAAACCATAACTCAATCAAAAGAGAGGCACTACAGTTGAACAATAGTGAGAGAAAGATTTGGACATCACTGTATGCTCAGCAGAGCTCTGGTGGCGGGGTGGGGAGAGACTTGGCTGCTAACCAGGTCAGCGGCTCAAACCCATCAGCTACTTCAGTGGGAGGAAATTGATGCCATCTACTTCCGTAAAGACTTACAGCCTTGGAAGCCCAATGGGGGTTGCTATGAGTTGGAATCGACTCGATGACACTGGGTTTGGTTATATATATGTTCAAACGTCCATTGTGTAAAAGTAAAAATATATGGGCCCTAAGACTTAAATTTAAGTTTCAAATCAAGTGAGCCAGCAGCTTGCTAATCAGATACTTTCGTTCTTAGAAGGAAAGCTCCTCTTGCTGCTCAGGTATTTTCTTTCTAAAGAGAGTAGAATTCTTTTCCTTCTGCCATCTAAATGATTTCTCCCTCCTCAGTATGGCTGTGACCCGATCCAAAGATGCTCCTCCTTTTGGCCCCCCGATCCCCAGCGGAACCACATTCCGCAAATCAGACGTCTTCAGAGACTTCCTGCTGGCCAAGGTGATTAACGCCGAGAACGCCGCGCACAAATCTGACAAGTTTCACACCATGGCCACCAGGACCCGCCAGGAGTACCTCAAGGACCTGGCCGAAAACTGCGTCTCCAACACGCCCATTGATTCCTCTGGCAAGTTCAACCTCATCTCCCTGACCTCCAAGAAAAAGGAGAAGACGAAAGCCCGGGCAGGTGCTGAGCAGCACAGTGCGGGGGCCATTGCCTGGAGGGTGGCTGCTCAGGACTTCGCCCAGGGGGCAGAAATCGACTGCATTTTGGGAATTTCAAATGAGTTTGTGGTGCTCCTGGACCTGCGCACCAAAGAGGTGGTGTTCAACTGCTACTGCGGGGACGTCATTGGCTGGACCCCGGACGCCTCGACTCTCAAAATCTTTTATGGGCGAGGGGACCACATCTTCCTACAGGCCACGGATGGCTCTGTGGAGGACATACGAGAAATCGTCCAGAGACTGAAGGTAAGGAGGGGCTCAGCAATGGTGGGATGGTTCACGTGGTTTGACAGAGGCCTTAGTAACCACTGCGGTACCCTAGCCCAGGCAGTTGGGCTAACACACTAATCGGCCCCAAGGGAATCCTAATTGTCACTTACGGTGGGGTCCTGCAGCTGGGGTTCTTCCTGGGGAAGGTTTGGACCAGGGATGTGAGGTTTTCCTTGTCTTTACCTTAGAAGGGTAAAAGATACACTTATTAACTCTAGATGCTGCCAGAAAATCTCAGTTTAAATTTAGATTAATAAACAAAATGTGGTACATTTATACAATGGAATATGATTCAGCCATAAAGAAAAATGAAGTTCTATTACATGTTACCACATAGATGAATGTTGAAAACATGATGTTAAGTGAAATAAACCAGGCACAGACTGACAAATATTGTAGAAGTCCATATAACCCAACTAAAAAAAAAAAAAATTGCCATTGAGTCGATTCCAACTCATAGTGACTCTATAGTACAGAGTAAAACTGCCCCCATAGGGTTTCCAAGGCTATAAATCTTTGTAGAAACAGAATGTCACATCTTTCCCATGAAGCAGTGGTTCAAACCACTGACCTTCAGTTAGCAGCCAAATGCTTTAACACTGTGCCACCGAGGCTCCTTATGATTCTGTATATGGTATGTGAAATACCTAGAATAGGAAAATGTATACAGACAAATCAGGGACTGAGAGTTGGGGAGAAAGAACAAAAAAGTAAGAAGAATTAAAATCGAATGAAAAGCACAAGCTCCCAGAGTTTCCCCATCACAGTAAAGGGCGGTTCCATTATCCCATTTGTTGAGGCCCAAAGCCTTGGCACCATACCATCCTAGGCTCCTCTCATGGTCTCACGGTCATACCCAGTCTGTCGTCATGTCCTGTCCACTCCCCTCTCAGCAGGCCTACTCTAGCTACTCCTCCCCTCCCACAGTCCAGTGGGGCCTGAGCCACTGTTGTCCCTTCCAGCAGCAGCCTTGTCCTCTCTCTGGCCTCCACTCTTCCTTATGGTAGTCAGCAGAATCCCATCACGCCACTGCCCTGCTCAAAACCCTCAGCTCACTGCAGGTAAAAGCCAGGGTCCTTACAGTGCCCTGCATGTGCTGGCTCCCTTTTGACCTCTCTGGCCTCCTCTCCCCACCACTCACTCTTCTCCAGCCACACAGGCCTCTGTTTCTTTGTGTTCTAGGCAGGCTTCCAGCCTCAGGGCCTTGGTACTGCCTGTGCCCTCTCGCTGGCACACTCTTCCCCCAGATTCCTGCATAACTCATTCCCTCTGCTCCAGGAGGCCTTTGGTCAAATGTCAGTGGGGCCTCATTCTCTAAAATTGCAACAGGCCCTCGCCTGTGGGCCCTGAGAATATTCTGTCGGCTTCTCCAGCTTTAGCACAGTATCTGTCTGCCATCATGTCAGCGCCTCGGCCAACATCCAGTACACAGTGGACACTTGAACATTTCCCGGATGAGGGAAGGCATGCCTGCTATTCCATAGCAACAAAGAGCTCTAGTGGCACAGTGCCTAAGGCATTTGACTGGTAACCAGAAGGTTGGCTGTTCTAAACCCACCAGACACTCCACAGAAGGAAGATGGGGTATCTACTTCAAAAAAGATTTATCACCTTGGAAACCCAACCGTGGTCGCTGTGAGTCGGAATAAACTCGATGGCAGTGAGTTAGGTGTTTTAGTATTTTGTAGCAATAACCAGAGTGATTACTATAGAGGGCTAATTCTGTGAGACCCCACTCAGCCTTCTGGATGGCTTTGCATTTTATCCTCACAGAAATCCAGTGAGGGAGGTGCCATTATCATCCCCACTACACAGATAAGGAAACTGAGACCCAAAGAGATGAAGTGACTTCCTTGGCCCAAAGTGAGTTGAGTGTCTTAGACACGAGAGTGTGCTACTTCCTGAAATCCTAGTAGCGTCTTGGTTTCTCAGACAGTGGTGATACTGGCAGAGTGCCAGATGACATGCTTCACCCACAGCCTTTCTGCCACTCTGTCCCATGCCACCCTGGGGCCTACAGTTCAGGTAATCCTTTCCGAGCCCATTTCCACAAGCACCTGACATAGTATCAACACACCAAAGCACAGTGAAGAACCAGCAGACCAGAAAGCCAATGACATTAGCCAACTCCTGTGAAGGGACAAGCCCATCTGAAACCACTCATGACTGTCTCTCTTCTCTTTGAAATGCTCAGGATGAGAGAATTCCATGCCTTCCCCTGGCAGAGCTGGGATGCAAACCCAGGCAGTCTGACTCCACCACCCCAAAAAAACCAAACCAAAGCCACTGCCTTCAAGTCAATCCCAACTCATAGCAACCTCCATTGGATTTCCAAGGCAGTTAATCTTTATGGAAGTAGATTTCCTCATCTTCCTTCTACAGAGTGGCTGGTGGGTTTGAACTGCTAGCCTTCTGGTTAGCAGCCAAATGTCTTAGGCACTGTACCACCAGAGCTCCTTCCCACCACCCCAGACACCTTAAAAAAAACGCATTGCTTCATTTGTTAATTTAACAAGTTTTATGATGTGCCTTAGCTGGGCTGGACAGTGCAGTGCTAGGATACGGCAAGGTCCTTGGGGGGCCCAGGCCCTACCCTCAAGGGCATACCCAGCCAAGGTACCTACTGAACAAGGAATTACAAATGCAAAGAAGTTAAAATGGGAGCATTGAGGATCCCAGGAGAACTCATCACAGGGGCCTAAATGAGTCAAGGAGAGGCTCTGAAACCCACAGGTTTGGGTGCAACCTTTAGACATATCTTTAAAGATGTGGTGGTTTTCATTCATTGCCAAAGCTTAACACTCAGAGGATTTCATATAAATCTGGTTCTCCTGGAAAATGTGTGGATCTGGCTCCATGGGACCCACATTTGCAGGTAATAGCTCCACTAAAGCTGAGTGAGGGTGCCCCCGTAGATGGGGTACAAGTGCATCGGTTGGAACAGTGCAGCTGTAACAGTGTTACATAGAGGGGACCTCACCTGCAGGCCCAGATCCAGAAATGAGAATTGGCTCATTGTTCGGTTTCATCAGGTACTGCTCACTATGCCATGTGTGTTTTCTGGAACCTTGTGAAAATCAGGACCGATTCTCTGGCTGGAGCATCTTTGATTTTTGTACAAGCAAAGGGGAAAGAAGCAAGACACAAAATGATGGACTAGTGTGTGGTCCCTTTCTATGTAATGTCCAGATGGGAGCAGTTGAGACAGAAATCCGATAGTGGCTGCCAGTGGAGGGGAAGGAAGGAGGGAAACTACTGCCTCGGGCACACAGGGTTTCCTCGGGGGGCAGTGGTGGTGTTCTGGAACTAGACGGTGGTGATGGCTACGCATCGTTGTGACTGATTGCCACTGGACTGGACACTTCAGAGTGGTAGAATTTATGTGACTGGATTTTACCGCAACTCAAGAAAAAGAAAGAATTCCAAAATTTCAGGACTCGGAGCCGGAGCATTCTTCTGCTGAATCTGGTTTCTTTCCAGAATGATCCAAAGCAGCTGTTGTAGGTAGTCACAAACTAAGCTGCTAAAATAGACTGAAAAATCCAACAGCTGAAGATAGTTTATTTTTCTTTGGAGTCCCTAAAACCCGCTGCCATCGAGTCGACTCCAACTCATCGCAGCCCCCATTGGGTTTCTTTACAGAAGTAGACTGCCCCATCTTCCTTCCACGGAACAGGTGGTGGATTTGAACTGCCAGCCTTCTGGTTAGCAGTCAGATGCCTTAGGCACTGTACTCCAGGGCTCCTTTTGGATGATTAAGCACTCAACGACTAACTGAAAAGTTGGTGGTTCAGATCCACCCGGAGGTGTCTTGGAAGACAGGCCTGGCAATGTGCTTCCCAAAGGTCACAGCTTGAAAGCCCTGTGGGGCGATTCTGTTCTGCACATGTGAGTTCACCATGAGGCCACTGCTTTGGTTTGGTTTGGTTTGGGGTTTCTTTTTTAATGAGCACTTGGCGCTGGTCTAGGCTGGCGGGAACGGCTCAGGAACTCTGGACCTCAGCTAATTGTGCTTATTTGCGTTGCTTTGACCAAAGCTGAGTCACTGTATCCACATTCCTGCCTCCAAGAAGGGAAGAAGAGTCAGTGTGGTGCAGTCTCACTTACTAAGAATGTGAGGTAGAAGTTCCATCAGCTCCAAGTCATGTATGTACACAGAGCTGCCAGGGAAGCTGAGAAAGCAGTCCGTAACTCGGTGGCCATGTGCCCATCCAAACGCTGTTCAAGGATGGGGTCTTATTACTAAAAGGAAGAAGGGGAGAATGGATAGTGGATGACAGGAATATTTGTATACATGTGTGGTGGACGTGTGTGTCAGTGTGAATGAATATGTAGTCTGATGTGTGATAGCAGACCTTAATGTAACTTGCTTAATATCCATCGCTTGTTACGTTAATCATTTCATCCCTGAGAAAGGGTAGGAGGTCACTGATAACATGCGCACAGACTAGGGGCTATAACACATGGGTCCTCATATCTTACAGTCCCCAAAAACAAAACCCACTGCCGTTGAGTCGATTCTGACTCATAGCGACCCCTCATTGGGTTTCCAAGACTATCGATCCTCACAGAGGTAGATTGCCTCGTCTTCCGCCTGAGGAGCAGCTGGTGGGTTTAAACCACCAGCGTGCTTATTGGCACCCACTACACCACCAGAACTCCTGATATTTTATGGTAAGACATTATAATGAGAAAAATGTACCACAAATGAAAGTAGTGAGTAATTGGCCCTGCATGGTCTGGTCGGCTCCATGTTGGAGGAAGGTCTGAAGAGGAGATCGGGGCAGGGTTTGTGCCTCTAAGAATGATGTTCTGAAGTAAAAGAATATTATCTTGAGCCCTCAAGCTAGAAAAGATACCAGTGTTACTGGGGTGTTACTTCTCCCACTTACTTTGGTTTGAGTCATTGACTCAGTCTGGGACGCTATCAGTGGCCTAAAACGGTAGGGTTTTCCCTTTCCACTACATGCTTGTCCTGGGTTCAGATGGGGGCTTTGCTTCCCATTGTCCTAACTCTGGGACCCCAGCTTGCCAGACAGCCACTGTCTGGACTATTGCTGGTCACTGTGGCAGAGGAGAAGGGCTGTGGAGCATCTCACACTGTCAGTTAAGCATCCCAGCCCAGATTGATGTGCCATACACCAATTCCACTCACAATTCATTGCCCAAAACAAGTCCCACAGCCCCAGCCAACCACAGAGGGGCCAAGAAGTGCAGTCCCACCATATGCCGGGAAGGAGGGGGGTGGGAACGTTGGAGAACACAGCTCATGACTGCCTTTAGTCTCCGAAAGGTGGTAAGTCCCATAGTTGCATATCCAGTTTCCTCTGGAATTGAGGAATATGGGCTGGGAATAGGTGGGTATTCACCCCCCAGGTAACCAGGCATCACCTGGGAGGGTAGATGGAATTGGCATGGTCTTTGGCCTCCGTTGGAAGACTCTTGACGGGGGCCTTCCGGAAGAGCTGACCCAAACAGCTTCTGAGGCTAGGTCCTGCCTGTTGCCCACAGGTGATGACCAATGGCTGGGAGACAGTGGACATGACACTACGGCGGAATGGGCTTGGGCAGCTGGGCTTCCACGTGAAATACGACGGGACAGTGGCTGAGGTGGAGGACTATGGGTTTGCCTGGCAGGCCGGCCTCCGGCAAGGCAGCCGGCTGGTGGAGATCTGCAAGGTGGCCGTGGTCACACTGACCCATGACCAGATGATCGACCTGCTGCGTACCTCTGTCACTGTGAAGGTGGTCATCATCCCGCCTTTCGACGACGGCACACCCCGGAGGTAAGGGCACCTGCCCTGCAAGGCAGGAGCGAGGGAGGGTGGGAGCTCCCAGAGGGCTGGCCTGAGGCCTCACTGACGCTGTCACTTAAGGCCAAAGTAGAGGGAGGTAGACAAACCCTCTCTCAGCTGGGATGGTGTGGTGGGGATGGTGGTGGGAATTAACACCATGGAGTGCTTTCTGTGTCTCAGTTACTGGTTTAAGCTCTTCTTGTGCGTATGATCCCAACAGCCCCATGAGGTCGGTATCCTCATTATTCCCGTTTTCTCAGTGAAGCACACAGGACACAGGCACCTCAGCACACGCTTACTAAGCCCCTACCCTGTACCAGCTGGGTTTGCAGTGCTGGGCCTACAACAGTGAACAGAGAGCTCTTGGAGGTGGTGGTCTAGAGAGAGAAAGGCTGTAAGTAAGGAGAGACTGAATACATTCCAGGTCATTACAGTTCTAAGATGGGTAACTAAGAAGGCTGGAGTGGGGCCAGGTAGCAGCTACTCACTGGGTGGTCAGAGAAGAGTGCGTGGTCTTCTGGGCCAGCGAGTTGCAGACAGAGGGACTGGTCAGTCCAGAGCCCTAGGGTGGGAACGTGCATGCTCGTCCCTGGAGCTACGGAGAGGACGGTGTGTCCAGAGTGGGGGTGAGAGGTGGGAGAGGAGGACAGAGTGACAGGCAGATTGGGTGGGGCTTTATGAACCTCACTGAGGAGCTCGGGTTTTACTCGCGGAGCAATGGGGAGTCCGTGGAGGGTTGGATTCTTTTGCTGAGTGTCATTCCTTCCTGGAATGAAAGTATATCAGGCCCCAGGTTTCAGCAGTGATCAGTATGTGGCCACTATTTGGTTTAGTTTTTTCATCATTCCCACTGCCACCTTGGATTGTCTGAAGCTGTCCCAGGCCTTGGAGTGTATCTCTACACAATAAGGACCTTTCTTTATTATTATTATTACAACTTAAAGAGAGCAAAAGCTTTACCTGTAATTAAACAATACGTCTGTAATAAGAACTTTCCAATCTGTGTTAAACTTCCCCTTCTTTTTTTTCTTGCAATTTCTTTTCGGGATAAAAAAACCAGGTCACTTGTCCTTCAGAGTTCTCCTTTCTTGGATCTGGCTGACTACATCCCCTGTGATACCCTTTATTTAGACTGTCCCTCTAATGTGTGTTTCCTGTAAACTAGGCATTGAGTGTAGCAGCTTGACCAGATTCCTAGTTCATTCCCATCAGGAGGTGCCATGTGCGTGCTTGTCTTCTGCAGTGGTGCTCAGGGCAGTCAGAGGACATGAATGGCAGCCTGACCCATCACTGCCAGGATCCCCTCAGACTTTTACCTCGTGGCCTCAGCAGCCATGTGTGACCATTGCTGAGATCCTTTGTTTCGTGACGGGTCACAGAGTGGTGGTGGTCTGAACCTGTCATCCCTCGTCATAGATTGGCTGGAATTCTTTTAAAAATAACTTCCCTTCAATAACTATTGTTAGCCTGAAGTATAATTTGTATAGGAAAGGTACCATGAGTGTCGTTTTCAGAAGAGTGAGTTGGTACCCTAGCACCTTCCAGAGATGACCAGTGAGAGAGAGTGTGTCCATACATTTCGAGCACTGGAAACAGCTCCGCAGAGGACAGTTGGGATCTTAACTTCCATAGAGCTGTGGAACCAGTCAGGGGAGACAATAAACAAGTAAAGAATAAGATGATTTCAGGCAGCACAGGACGCGGTAGAGCAGCGGGAGTGGTTCTGCAGTGACATCACTGATCTCAGCTCCTCCCCTTTGTAACTGTGGTCCTGGCCAAGTGGTTTACCACTGGTGCTTCAATTTCTTCATCTGTGAAATAGGGAGATAATAGGCCTTTCGTTAAAGCTAGTTGTGAACTTGAGGGAGATAAGACTTGTGAAGTGCATACACAGTACTGGGCCCTTAGGGGAACCCTAGAAATGTTGGCTATTAGATAGTGAGTGTGAGGAAAATAAAGGGCATGACCTGATGTTGGCCAGGGTGGCAGGGAAAGCCAAGAGAGGGAAGAGGAGCCGGAAGAGGGGCCGTGCAGGCAGAGAGCAGCCACCCTAAAGGCTCTGAGGTGAGATCGAAGGCCCTAGGCCTAGCAACGGGGCAGAAGTCCTGTGTGGCTGAGGCAGAGGGAGTCAAGGGGAAGGTGAGATGAAGTGACATTGAGTGACACCTGAGGCCCAGAGCAGACAAGTCACTTGTGCAGAGTTAAACAGTAAGCCACAGATGAAAACTCCGGTCCAGGCTCACCCAGCTCCATTGTACTCTGCTGTTGGGAGCTGTGGCCGGGTGAGTTGTGCTTGCTTCGTCCGCACCTTCTGGAGGCCTCCTTGCTCTGGGCTCGGTGGGCCAGTCCTGGGTAAACCTAAACCCTGATACCCTCCACCCACCTCTCTGCTTCCCTCAACCTCAGGACTCTAGTCCAGCCCCAGGCGTTCCCTGCTCCCAGCTCTTCCTGCACCTCCTCCAGTTCTGCCCAGAGCCAAGGCCCCGCCACACCCACTCAGCTCTCTGCAGGGGCAAGTCAAGCCGTTGGTAACCCCACAAGCAAGTTCCCCAGTGCTTGACTCCTCAGGCCAGAACACAGCCCTTTCTGCCTTGCTCTGCACACAGCACTCATTCCTGTGCCCGCTCGCCTGTCGGATGACTCCAAACCTTGGGCAGCGTGAGAGGCCATAAAAGTGTCCCCAGCCATGCAGGTAGGGACCAGCTGAAGCGAAAGCAAAAGTCTGTTGCTTTCTTCGCCAACTTAGGGAGCCAAGGCCAAGAGGGTGTGACCAGACAGATGCGTTTCCTCCTCGCTCTGTTGAGGAGAGATGGTCATCCTGCCCCCTTCATGAGGCAGCCGCCAAAACAGGAGCTGCTGTTTGCAGGGGCGGCTGTGCGCTGGGACTTGGTGGTTTTCCTTATCCTTCCAGTGGCAGCCGCGTCACGCTGCCCTCATTTGCAGAGCTGATAGCCCCCGCTCTGCGGTCCCCCCAGCAACCCTGGCCACCTGGCTCAGATGTCACAATAAGCTTTGAGGTGACACGCTTGGAGAGGGGCAGAGGTGCTCTCTCCACCAGGAGCCAGCTCTTTGTGGCTGTAGAGCACCAGAGAATCACCCCCAACCCCAGGCAATAAGACGAGCCCTTGAGTGAGCCCAGGTAGCAGGAAGACTTAGCAGAGCCCCTGCTGAGATGCATCACTGTGACCTTGGGCACTTGCAAGGCTAGAAGCGATGCTCCCTTCTTGCTGTTTCTGTCACTGCCTGGTGAAGAAGGCAATCTTGGGATGTTTTCATCAGGCCATACTAACTTCCAGAGAGCTGGAAATGTCTCCCTAGGAAGGAAAATTGAAACCCTGCAAGTGAGTAGAAGCAGTAAGAAAGGCGTCCCCATAGCCCCCAGGAATCAAGGAAAGGAGGCAGTGTGGACCAGTGGTCTGAGAGCCTGGAGGCATTCCCAGCCGCCTCAGCCAACTCCCTCGTTTGGACTGTTGTTGTTGTTGTTGTTATGTGCCGTCGAGTCGGCCCCGACTCATAGCGACCCCTCCTTGGGTTTCCGAGGCAGTATCACTACGGAAGTAGGATTGCCCAACCTTCCTTCCGAGGAGTGGCTGGTGGGTTTGAACCGCCAGCCTTCTGGTTAGCAGTTTGGACTAAGAGGGTGGATTGGAGGATTTAGTGCAGCATTGTTGGTGGAGGCAAAAGTCTGGAAAAAACTTCAGTGTTCACCCCTACGGAACAAGCTATAGATTAAAGGTCTTCTACATGATGGAATATTCCCTGATTGTTAAAAGAGACTGAGGTGAATCTGTTGGTGCTAAGAGGGCTCAGGTAAGAAATACTGTTAATTGGAGGGAAAAAAAGCAAGAAGCTACACAGGGATCTAAGGAGCTCTGGGCGTGGAGTGCCTCAGACATTTGATTGCTAACCAGAAGGTTGGCAGTTCAAACTCACCAGCCGCTCTACAGGAGGAAGATGGGGCAATGTGCTTCCATAAGGATTTAGTGCCTCAGAGACCCAACGGGGTCTGCTGTGAGTCGGAACCAGCTCAATGGCAGTAAGTTTGGTTTGTTTTGGGTTTATACGGGGGTGTAGTGTGCTGCTCTTTTTATTACTATTTCAAATACTCCTTACTGCTCTGCACAGTCCGTTTCTGAAGGAACGCTCGGAAATTGGAATCAGGGGCCGCATCTGGTGGGTGAAAGGGGGCATGGGTAGGGAGGCTGAGTTTCCACTTTACATTCTTTTCTATGTTTTAAAATTTAACAGTAATTCAAGAAACTAAATATGTGAAGGAGAGACTTCTCAGACTTCCATGTTTATCAGAATCATCACTGGAAGCTTGACAGAATGCACATTCCTGGGCCCCATCTCAAGGTGGAGATTCTATTCAGATGAGCTGGGGTGGGGCCCAGGAATGTGTGTTTCTTTATGAGAACTCAAGGTGGCTCCGATGCTGGTGACTCTCAGGTTACTGGGGAAAGCTGGAGAGAAGGAACTTGTTCCAGAGCCCCAGGCAGGTGCAGCCGGGCTTCAGAACGTGGAAAGGAGACTCCTCCCACTTCTGAGCAGGTGAGGATAGCAGATGGCCTGTGCCGGGAATCAGCTGGAGAAGATGGCCAGCTTCTGCTCTGTAAGCACTTGGCAGGTACCAGGCTCCACTAACGCTGATGGAGTCCTCACAACCGCCCTGGGGAGTGGGGACCACCCCCATCTTACAGATTAGGAAACTGGGGCTCTGAGAAGGAGATCACTCACCCAGGACCACACAGCTGGGAAGTGGCAGAGCTGGGGTCTGAATCAACAGACTGACCCAGGAGCCCTGGCTCTCCACCACTGGCTGTGCCACCTTCAAGATGATTGGAACCCCAAAATCCAGAACCTTGAAATAGATGCAGAGTGGCCTACACCATGCCAACCCGTGAAAAGGGATAATATTTCCCTGTTAGAGCTCATGCCCACGGTCTCCTGGCCAAAGGTGAAGCTGTAAGTAATAAGGGGAGCAGTCAGGAAGAATTTACCTGGTAGTCAGAGGCTCCTTTAGAGTGGAGCAGTATGCACAGTTGGTTGATTGTGGGCTTTGGAGTCAACTTACTACACTTCAACACTATTTCCACTCTTCCTGGCTGTGCGGTCTTGGCCAGGTTACTTAAGTTCTTGGTGCCTCATTTTAATTCTAAAATGTGATATGGTGAGCCAGACTCTGGTTATCAACAACAGAAAGATTCAGAACATGGTGGACTTTACTGGCTCGTGTAACTAACAAGACTAAGAGATGGGAAGATTTAGGCACAGCTGTATCCAGGGACTCAGACAAGCTCATTGGGAATCTTTCTGTCATGGGTCTCCTTTTCTGAATTGGTGTCCTTCTCAGGCAGACTCTCACCTCGTAGCCATCACACAGAGTTAAGCTGAGGTCCACCCAGCTCAACAGCCCAAGTGAAAATAGATATTTTCCCCCCAATAGTTGGTTTTGGAGTTGCAGGAAAAGTTCCAGTATGGATGCTCATTGACTCTGATTGGCCCTCTTCAGGGCACATGATCCCTGCACCAATCTTTGTGGCCAGAGGGAGAGAAGTTTCTGATTGGTCAGGCCTGGGTCACATGCTCATACTTGGAGCTAGGAAAGGGAATCAGCTCACTCAGAGCACACAAACCTGTTAGCAGGAGAAGGAGGGTAGAAGCAGGGCAGGCAGGAAGAGCAGGTGTGCACTGCCTGGGGTGGTAAGGGGACCTTCTCCACCTGTGGCCAGGCTGTGCAGATCGGCAGGCTCTGATAGACATTGACACTGTTCTCCTAACCAGGGGTCAGGCAGCAGCACCTACCAACCCCAAGGAGCTGCCGAACGTCGGCCCAGCCCAGGTCTCAGAGCACGTCCTCAGGTCACCTCCTGATGACTGCTTACCAGCTGTGTCCTGGACCATAGCCTCTGAGCCCCCAGGTCCACCAGAAATTTTTCTGGATGGCCATGAAAGCTCTCTGGGCTCAGGAGCCCCAGAGAGCCACAAGGTTCTGCTTGATGGGGGCGTGAGAGCTCAGAGCTCAGCTCCTGGAGCTGCAGGGAGGAGATTTCACGCACAGCCCCCCTAGGGCTCGGAGCCCCCTGTGTGCCGCAGTGCTGCAGCGGTGGGGAGGGCCAGCCAGCCCGGCCGCCTCCCGCCTCGAGCCAGGAAAACTGCACGTGCCAGTGAGGTCCAGGGGGACTCAGGCCGCTCCAGAGCTATTTCAGGTTCTGGATTTCGTGGCTTTTTCTTTTTCTTCTTCCAAACCACCCTGCAAAGTAGGTCACTTGCTTCTCTTCCAGCTGCCTTTGAGCTTCTTTGGAACAAGGCAAATATTGTCCTTTGAATCTGAGGGCATCTGCTCTTTGGGCCTGAGCACCACTAAGGGGAGCTGAGCTGGTCTGTGGAACATAATGGCAGACTTGAGGTCTGGGCCGGGCAGAAGGGTAGGGAGAATGGGAGGAAGAAAAAGGAGATGAGGTAGAGAGGGCCAGGCTCTCATAGTTGAGTGTTGGGCCCTGTCCTCCTGGCTGAGGACTCTGAGCTGGTAAGTGTGAGACCAGTTTAAAGGGGCATCTCTGCCCTTCAGATAAGCCCTGACGGTTCAGGTGTGGTCGGGCAAACCTGCTGAGTGACCGAGCAGCAGGCCTCCCCCAGACAGCAGGTATGTGTGTGAGGGCCAGCGGGCTGGGCCCTTCTGACTGCTGCCGGTTTTTCTTCACAGGGGCTGGCCAGAGACCTATGACATGAATACCTCGGAGCCCAAGACCGAGCCAGAGAGCATGACCCCTGGGGGCCGGCCCCCTTACCGCAGCAATGCTCCCTGGCAGTGGAGTGGGCCTGCATCCCACAACTCCCTACCAGCCTCCAAGTGGGCCGCGCCAGCCACTCCTGGCCACGCCCAGTCCCTGAGCCGGCCCCCGAAGCAGACCCCCATGGTCCCCTTCCGGGAGTCCCAGCCACTGCACAGCAAGAGGTGAGAATCTCCCTCCACCCTGTCTCCCTCCTGCCTATGTCTGTCTGCCCATCCACTCTCTCCTGCTTTTTCTCTGTTCTCTTCCTGGCCTCGGTCTTTGTCCTTCTGTCCTATCCTTAGGCCTCCCGCTGTTCCTGCCTGTCTCCTGTCTTACCCTTTCCCTTCCTTCCTCCTCTCCCTGCTGTGTGCAAGGGCTCAGCACCTGAAGTCTGCATTCCACCTTATATCTGATTAAAATGACATAAACCCCAACCAGAGACACTGCCATGGAGTCAATTCCGACTCACAGTGACCCTATACACGTATATATACAAGATCAAGGGACTGAGAAACAAAATGCAGGGCACTGGTTACTTCTTGGGGAAAGCAGGGAAGTGGGAGGGGGAAAGGCACTCAGGTAGACTAACGATACTGCCCTATTCTGGTTGGGTTGTGTGGTGGGTTCACAGGGCTTGGTTTATTATTGTGCTGTATGACTTACAGGTAGTTCTGAATCTATTGTTTAACATATTAAAAGATAGTTTAAAAAAAAAAAAAAAAGACTCCAGCTTGCAGAGGAGCATCTCACCCAGGAGGGGAGAGCCGTCTCAGGCAGCTTCTGCCACAGCTGTGGAATCTGAGGGGTGGGAGGAGCAGCGGCAGAACCAGGAAGAGGGAGGGCAAGGAGAATCCCAGCTTCCCCCGCCTGGGCTCGGCATCCGTCTCTCCATCTTGTGGGGGATAGCAAACAGGACATGGCTGGGCCCAGGGAACCGTCTGTCTCTCCCTGTGAGGGCAGGGATATTCTCTTCCTCCTCCCTCCTGTCTCTTGTTGCAGGCCTGTGAGCTTCCCAGAGACCCCTTACACAGCATCACCAGCAGGGGCCGACAGAGTCCCTCCCTACCGACAGCCTTCTGGGAGCTTCTCCACCCCCGGCTCTGCCACCTACGCAAGATACAAGCCATCGCCAGAAAGGTCAGAATCTCTCCACTCTTTTCCGATTAAGGGATGGACTGACACAGTGGCTGTGACCGTGGGCTCAAGCATGGCTGTGATTGTGAAGATGGTGCGGGACCGGGCAGTGTTTGGTTCTGTTGTACTTGGAGTCACTACGAGTGGAACTGACTCAATGGCATCTAACAACATGAACGCTCCCCAGGAAAGGCGCACAACCGCACAATTTTATATGCTATTCTCTGGGATTCCTGGGGTTCCTGGACCCCTGACAGCCATCAGAGGACAGCCCCTGCCCCGGTGTTGGCTGTGTCTCAGGTTAAGATTGAGGGCCAGGCTGGGCTGGGCAGGGCTGGTGAGTGGCTTTCTGGCATGAGAATATCACCTCTGTTTCCTTGGTATCAGTGTCCCATTTGTGCAGGACCCTCTGCCATCCAGCACAGCCATTCACTCCAGCCCCAGTGGCTACCAGGACTAGGCCACCAGTATCACCCAGTTCTCACGGTCTTCAGGCTTCGGCCCTGCCCCCTTGGATCCATCCCACCACAATCAGCCTTTGGGCTCACAGGCTCTCCCCGAGTGCTCCATGGCCCCCCAGTGCCCTCAGGATAAACCCAAGCTGCACAGACTAGATCTGACCCCAGCTGAGCTCACTGTCCATTCCTTTCTCAGGATGGCCCTGCCATTCCCCTGTCCCCAGGCCAGAGCCGTAGGCTTGGTCCTGACGTATTCTTTTCTTCCTCCATCCCCATGGTCCATCCACTCAGCGTTGTGAGCATCTCTTCGGCCTGGTGCTGGCCCCACCCTGCACCTCCCTGGGCTCGCAGCCTCCAGTCTCACCTCCTTTGGTCCATCCTCCACTGAGCAGCCAGAAGGATCTTTCTATCTGAGACCATGTCTGTCCCTGCTGCAAGCCCTCCCTTGACTCTCGGAGCCCTGGGACACAGCCACACCCCTCACTGTGGCTAGCAAGCCCCCACACACACACCGCTTCAGCCTTGTACAGTGCCCCACATCAGCCACACTGACCCCTACCAGTTTCTCAGGTAGGCTGTCTGCAGTTCAGAAGCCCTGCCCGTGTTCTTTAATCTCACCCCCACCCTGCCACCTGGAGCTTGGATGCTGTTCCGCCAGCAGCCTTCCCCAGCACCTCCCCCAGGCGAGGGGCCCCTCCTCTGCCCCACAGGGTGTTTCCCGACTGTAGCCTTGAGGACACTCCATTCTTTGGGCCCAGTTAAGTCTGTGTGGAGCACACACAAGAGAGCACATGAGTGGACCTGCTCTCCAGGCAAGGACCTTTCTGGTTGTCTTTGTGTTCCCATCACACTGTACAGGGACCATGATGGACACTAAGTACATACCGGATGCACAAGTGAAAGGAGGAGGGAGAGAGTCTGTTGAAATGAGACCACTTCACGACCAGGGCTCAGTTCTCAGTCTTTAGTGTACTTCAGAATCGCCCGGAGGGCTCGTTGAAGCACAGTCTACTGGGCCTCACCCCGGATGCTGGTGCTGCTGGCTCACGGTGCACCCTGAGAGCTGCTGCTCTAAACCATTGTTTGGTTCTAAGCCTCTATTGTAAAAACTGGGCAAACATGCCCACTCTCGCGTTTTCTAGTGGCCACAGTTCAGCTTTCATTCAGCAAAGACTCCCAGGAGCCTGCTGTAGGCCAGGTGCTGGGAGAAATTTGAAATACGCAGGTGTGAGGAATTCCTGTTTCTCGGGACACTGGCTGCCTTTGGTGGAGAGAGGGTGGGAGAAGCCACGTGCACCATGATGAGCCCTGCAGCAGACTCGGAGTTTAGAGTAGGGTGCCAGGGCCACCGCCCAGCCTGGAGGTAAAGGGAGCGCTGGAGCAGGGCCTGGAGGGATTAGTGGGAGTTTGCCAGCAGGGAGGGCTTATCTCAGACAGAGCCAAGCCCTCCGACATGAGTAAGAAGGACAGAGCGGAACAGAGAAGGAGCAGAGGGAGCTCTGGTGTGCACAGAATGCGGCGGGCGGGGGGCTCAGTAAGAGCTGGGAGTGGGGCTCGGTGCCCAACCAGCTGCAATTCACAGAGGTGATAGGACTGATGGCACTGAACACTCCCAGAAGCTTTTTTTTTTTTTTTGCCCAAAGCCTAACATGTCTAACTGGATTTAATGTTCCCTTAAACTTTTATTTTGAATGATTTTGGATTCATGGGAAAACCAAACCAAATGCACTGCTATCAAGTCAATTTCAACTCATGGCGACCGTGTAGGACAGAGTAGAGCTGCCCCATAGGCTTTTCTGAGATGTAAACCTTTATGGAAACAGACTGCCACATCTTTTTCCCACTGACCTTTTGGTTGGCAGCTGAGTACTTTAACCACTGTGCCAGCACCACTCCTCGATTCATAGGAAGTTGCAAAGAAATATATGGGGAGGTCCCATGCCCCCTTCTCTCAGCCTCCCCCCCCCATCTTACATAGCTGTAGTATAGTATCAACCCAAGAAACTAACAGTATAATCCATGGAGCTTATTCATCTTTCATCACTTACACATTATGCATGTGTAATTAAGAGCATGTATAAAGTGTGTGATTTATGTGCAAAGATAAGTGTTTATTTCCCTGAGATTAATGCCCAGGAGTCCAATTGCTGTGATCATACACTAAGCCCATTTTTAGGAGCTCTGGTGACATAGTACCTAAGACATTGACTGCTAACCAGAAGGCTGGCAGTTCAAACCCACCAGCCACTCCTCAGAAGGAAGGTTGGGCAATCTACTTCCATAGAGATACCGCCCTGGAAACCCAAGGAGGGGTCGCTGTGAGTCGAGATCTACTCAGCGGCAGTGAGTTTGGTTTTCTGTTTTGTTTTGCCATACTGTTTTCCAGAGTAGCTGTACCATTTTACATGCCCACCATCACCCCACATTCCTTGCCACCACCATTTGTTGTTATCACTGTTTTCCAGGTTAGCCATTTTGATAGGTGTGTATCTTGTTGTGGTTTCAATTTGCATTTCCCCAGTAACTGGTGATGTTGAACGGCTTTCCTGTGCTTATTTGCCATCCGTGTGTCGTCATCAGTGAAATGTCCGGGCACGTCTTGCCCATTATCTAATTGGATTTAATGTTAGAGCTCTTCATATATGCAGACACAAGTCCTTTGTTGGAGATGTGATTTACAAATATTTTCCTCCAATTTTGAGTTTGTCTTTTCATCCTCTTAACAGTCTTTTCACAGAGCAAAAGTTTGTGTTCTGATGAGGCACAAATTATTTTTTTCCTTTTATGGATCGTACTTTTGCTGTTAAGTCCTAGGTCTGAAAGACTTTTCTCCTATGGTTCTTTCCTAGAAGTTTTATAGTTTTACATTTAAGTCCATGATCCATTTTTCATTCATTTCTTTGAATTTTTATACAAAATACGAGATTTAGGTTGAAGTTTCGTTTTTTCCCTCTGGATACCCACTTGCTTCAGCAACATACAGCCAGTGTCTTGCCGTTTCGTGTCTCCATCAGCAGTTGGGTTCTGGATTTTGCCCAATATTGCTAGCACACTTCATTCCTTTAACCCCCAGAAGCGTCTGTCACGGCTGATCTCCAGCCCACAGTACGAGGCCCAGGAGTAGGTCATTAGCTGCTTCAGTGGCCTTGGCTCAGTCCTTTCCCCTTTTCCTGCTATAAAGTTGTCCTGTGACATCTTTGTGCCCTTGTGGCCCAAACTGGGCACTCCAGCCCAGCCAGGGACCTTTGTCACCCTTAGAGCCTGTCTCCTGTTGTCTTCTCAGCAGGCATCCTACTTACTGAGCTCATCAAGCTTTTAGGAGCAGGAAGTCTCTCCTTGACAGAACCTGTCTCGTGGGCCATCTCACCTTCATTAGGAGGCACAATGGCATGATGGTTAAGAGTTCAAAACCAGGCCCTGCCTCTTATCAGCTGTACAAGCTCAGGCAGGTGACTTCACCTCCCTGGCCCTCAGTTTTCTCACATGTAAAATGTTACCCTCTGAACCTGCCGTGAAGATGAAAGGGGGGGAAGCCCATCTAGAGCTGCTAGGAATGTGCCTGTCATGTGGTAAGTGCTCCATGTTGTTGTTGTTGTTGTTGTTTGCCGTCGAGTCAGCCCCGACTCATAGCGACCCCTCCTTGGATTTCCAAGGCAGTATCACTACGGAAGTAGGATTGCCCAACCTTCCTTCCGAGGAGTGGCTGGTGGGTGCTCCATAAAGGTTACAAATGTGACTGCTGAGGGCCTTGCTGACCGGGGGCTGTCCGTGTGCAAAGTGAACCGACCACACAGCTCAGTACAGTGTTCAGATGAAGACGGGCGCCCGGCTGAGGAGCTCACAGAGCAGAACTTGGACTGGCCACTCGCTTCTCAGGTCACTTGGATGGCTTCTTCTTTTTCCCTTTTTTTCCTCTTCTGTTTCTGCCAGCTCCACAAGGATAGGTCCATCGGTTAGGAGGTATTTGACTCCAAGTGACAGAGATTCTAACTCAGGAAGGCATGAAGCGTTAGGGGATTTATGTCCCGAGATAGGGCAGCTCTAAAGCGAAGTCCAGAAACCAGACTCACTGCCATCGAGTCAATTCCGTGTCACTGCAACCCCTGTTGGGTTTGCAAGGCTGTAAATCTTTACGGAAACAGACTGCCTCATCTTTCTTCTGCAGAGCAGCTGGTGGGTTCGAACAACCAGTTTTTGGTTAGCGACCAAATGCCTTAACCACTTCACCACCAGAGCTCCTCAGGACGGCTCTAGAGCTGGTGAATTCTGCAGCTCAGGGGCCTGGCTCCTCTCATGACCCCATGATGGCTACTGTGGCCCCACTCAAAGACAGTCCTCAGTGCTCTGCAGAAGATGAGGGAAGAGCTGCTTTTTGTTCCTCATGAGTGAGGAAACTTTCCCCAGAACTGGATCACTTGGCCAACCCTGAACCAATCCCTGGCTGGGTTGTGTTAGACCCCTATGTCTTAGAGGGTTAAGATTGACTTAGGTGACATGGCAGAGGGCTGACCACCAAAGGAATCTGGACTCGACCAGTGGGGACAA